TTGTTTGAACTGATGCCGTCGCTACATTGCACCCTTTCGTTGGGGAGAACTTCCGCCGCTCGATTTCCATTCAACGGCCATCCATCTTGTTTGAGATGGTTTAAACTGACAGACAGCAAGATCCGAGAGTGGTTCTATTCCGATGACATGGCACATATCTATTCCGCTATACTAACATAGCGGAACTTTGAATATTGCACGGAATTGCTTTTTTATACCTACCTAGACCTAATTTACTTACATCTTGGTAATTTTAGCAATAGATTTTGATACAATAACTGTAAATGCGTTCGCAAATTTTCGCTATCATAAAATATTTATCGAGTAAAGCGAAGTCTCCTTTATTTATCTATACACATGTGTGTATGGTGTTTAAGCGAGCAACAGGCGGCCAGTCCTGACTTTGCTCTCTGCCGTACATATTCTCACGTTTCCGTGGCCCCCGGAGACAATGAAAAGGCATTACAAGATTGTTGTTGCTATAATCCCGAGGGAGCTCTAACGTTTTCACTTTGAACTCGTCGTCGCCGGCGTTTCCAGTTTCTTGCGGTTTGTTCCTCTTCCGCGTTTATTGTATGTTTGAATAATTAATTCCGTGTCTTCGAATTCGAAAATACCTGTGTATACAACTGCGTAATTACAAATTTTTACTATACCTACTTATAGAGAGAATTAGATAATGAATTAACATACCAGGTAAATGACAACAGATTACAAATTATAGCACCAAAAAATCAATTAATTCCCTAATATATTTCCTTTATTTCGAAAAAGTTGATGTTAGATACTTGACGAAATCTCAGACTTTCTCCCTAAGAGACCATTTCAATTCCAAACATCCCAAGTTATCTAAATTAAATTGTATTATTTTCATTTCCTTCTGTAACTTCTAACTGATATTATCTCCAACCCGTTAAGAAATTCTAAAGCGAATATCGTGTCATTTCCTTCAACGCCGAGGCAGCTAAACTTGTTCATTTCGCAATTAGCACTTTCATGTGAGGAGTTCAATTTTATTAAATAAAATTTCACACTCGAAATTTTACCTCTCCGGTAGAAATAACCCCGAAATGCAGCCTTTAGTGGAATAAACGATTACGCATTGTACTCGCGCGTCTGTAGCTATTCATGTAGGTCTGTAAGCATTGATTTTATTTATGTTTAATGCAATTTGATTGATTAAAAACTATCAAAAAGAGCAAAAATTTCAGTAAAAAAACGGGCAGTTCGAAATTTTGTTTAATGGATGTCGCAGGCACGCTACACATACGAGATGCTATCTATCCGCAATGGAAGTCAAAGCTATTATATTAATTTTCTTTTGTATTCCATTCAGTATCAGACTCCTAATCATTTTTATGAATTTCATTAGAACTGAGGTTAAAAATAACACTCTCGATAAAAATCTACATGCGTGACTAGTGACTATTGTCGTGCCAAAACGAACATGGCGGATTTATACCTATTATAAATATATACGTACAAAAATTTTAACTTGTTCTTTTTTTTCCTTAAAAAATTACGCGAATAATAATACGTTAGGTTCGAAATAAAAGAGCCACAAACGCAAATGCATTAAAATAATAACTCGCCCGAGGAGCGAGCGGACTCCAAAGTTTAGTAATTTCCAACACGAATAGGGATTTCTTATTTCTAACAGAGCTGGACTAAATAAATTTTAATTATAAATTATTGTCCCTTATTCTTCTGAAATCAATTCCTCAATCCTCATAAGGTCATTAAAGGAAAAAATCTTTTATTTTAAAAACTTTTTGTTGTAAATTATTTACCAACCAAAAAAATGGGCTTTATAATTATAGTTAATTACTGGCAAAAATTATCGAGTGAAATAAATTTGATGGAATAAATCTGTATCATCTTTTTATATTTATAAAATAATTTACTGGTTTATATACAGCGACCCTGGTTCTCCGGAAGATGTTACGTTAGAAAATGAACTTATCAATGCGAGAGATAGCGAACAAACATTAAAAATGTTGCCTGGAGTTGTATCGATGGCGATCATTAACATAATAGCGGAGGGTTCGGCATAACTGGGAAAATAACCTGCTGTCGATTTCATTGTAGGGAGAAAAGCGGACTTTTCAATAATTCTGTTTCGTGCTCTCGCCGAAGGTATCTAATAAATAAATAAAATGCGAAGACATATATTTCGTTAGCAACTACAACACAAATCCGCTTGGTCGATTCGTTTGGTTCATAGATGATTAGGTATAGATATTAGGCATATTCAAATTTGGAATTTGAAAAAATAAAGAATAAATATGTTGAACATAGACTATATTTAGACCATGGGCGATGAACTTGTAAAATTTAGTCTGTGGACCATAGGTATATGGTCCTCATTTAAATAACGCAAGTTGTACGCAATATGCTGGTCTACAGACGAAACAAGACATTTTTCAATATTCTCATATAAAGGAAGAAGAAAGAGTGAAATTAAGGGATGCAACTACAATTACAACTGAAACTTGTTTGCAATTATTGCAAACTTGCCCATAGGCCATGGTGTATGGTCCATCCATGGTCCATGGTCCAAAGACAGTTCATATTTAAAACGATATAGATGATGACAAGTTTTTACATGTTTATGCAACTTTCCAGTGCAACTTTGTTCAGGCTGATTCAGGTGTTTGATTGATACAGACGCGTTTTCATAGCACTGTTTTTGTAACCATGGAAGACGCAGTTAAAAGTAAAATTTCAAAGAGCAATATTTTTCTTTGTGAGAAAAGGTGTGAAAACATCAGAAATTATTCAGCGTCTGCAAGGAGTATTTGGTGAGTCTACAGAATCCAAAAGTACTGTTTATCGGTGGATCTCTTTGTTGATGCCCTTTTCTTGCCGAGACTTGTCTATCACCAATAACATTTCCTATAAGCTCTTTGGAATTAACCCTCGTATATTGGAAACTTATGCACATTATCCTCATTTTCCCCAATTCTCATTAGTATACCGAAAAATTCGCATCCACGTTAGAGACTCGCAGAGCGGAGCCGACAGCATAGGTGCACTCCGCGTCCAGAACTATCCTCCAACTCTCCTCTAACAAAGTTAAGTTAGGAGATGCAGCAGTCAAGAAGACTTCTAATATAAACCCGGTAGGCCGGTGGCTGACAGCGTGTCGGGCTGTGCGACAGCTGTGCGCCGCGCGATTGTCTCGGGATGATTGATGATCTAGGACGGCTGTGAGCTCGGCCACCCTTGACTCTCCGTCGGGCTCGGGGTTCCACTCCGGTTCACTATACTTACTACGACTTCTATGCTACTTTGTACTTACAGGACCGTATTATTTTGCCGACGCCACCTACGCCTGCCACTCGGAACTGGAAACTGGACCTGCTTGATGTTGCAACGAGGTCTTATAGGGAAATTAATTTCCTAATCAACAACTTCTAATTGAGTTTATGAGGTGAGGTATACGAGAATGCAGGTGTTTGATATACTTAGTCCATTAGGTAATTGAATCACTTATAGTAGAAAATAAGTATAGCCTATATTTTATTATTGCACGCCTCACACATTTATTGATACAAACAAGATTAGCATAATTAAGGATCACTCTAAAAATTAGATTATTTTCAGACTATAAATCCAATTCCAAGAAACCAATTTTTCTGCTTTTAGTTCGAGTTTACTGTACGAGTCTCTTTGGATTGTCCTTGCGACTTGGTCAATGGAATACTCGATTTAAACCGGGATGCTGCGCTCTAATAGGATCAAGGAGCCGGATGAATTGATTTGAGTGATGGCCGCTGCGCGATCTTCTACTCGCCGCCATATATCATCCCTCTATCAACGAAAGTAGGAACGGCGATGTGTGACGTCATCGTCATGCCCTGTTTGAACCCTTAGCAACGCTTTCAAGTGCACTAAGTCAAAGAGTTTTGCAGTCACCTGCTCGAATATAGCAATAATATGATATGTCTTTCTAGGGATTTTTAATTTTTTTTATGCGTTATGACTTTCGGCGTTTCGTGGGAATTAGATGTCCTGATGACGGTGTTTTGGTCGAAACTAGTAAGCTGGGTTGAGTAATGAATCATGTAATTAGTTACAAAGTAAGGTTTTTAAGCGAGTGTAATGTGATTATTAGGGGGCCATTAATGTAATTAATAAACGAGTTCTTGGTGATAATATACCTAATATTGATTAAAGGAAGGTTTATATGAATGTGCATACTGAAAAAAATAACGATTAGAGGTTATAAGTGATTAATCCTTAGTAATGAAAATTGTTTGGTTTGGAAATAGTTGGTTAGTTTGGAAATATTTTAGAACACTTTAATAAAATAAGGTTTTTATTTCGTAACAATGTAATTTTTTTAAAGTTTTTGAGTAACTTTAAAATTAGAATAAAAAACTGGAAATATTCTGATAGTAGTATTCAATCGTACATACATTCCCTTTCCCACAATCAATTAATTAAAATGGTGGATTAAAACGTTAATCCACCATTGGTGGATCTAAATCGTTAATTAAAATCGTGGATATTAGAACCGAAAGAAATACTATTATTAAACACCTCAAACCAAGATTTTTTTAATAAACGTCGAATTTAAAATTTGTATTAGCTTGAGTTTAAAAAGAATTTTCAAATAATAATGATTCATATGCAAATGTAATGCATACACAGATACCATAATCTCTGGTATCATTTCATGGTGGATTGTTATAGGGAGCTTTTTAGTTTCAGAAAGCATCGAGAGAGCGAAGACATCTCGTGGCACAATTCCGAAAAGCGAAGCTTGAATTTACAGTTACCGATTTTTTTAGAGAAACCTGAAAATATATGGAAGCTGCAATTTAGATAAAAATTGTGATAATGTTATTTGCCTTTTTGCATTGCATTTTGAAAATATTAAATTTGAATTAAAAAACAAATATTCAAATACAGAACGTATAAACTTATATTTATGAAAAATTAAAACGCCGCAGTTACTGATTGTATTAAAAACAATTTTATTTATTTATTTATTTATAAATTCAACACACAATAATTACATACATAAGACCAATAAGTATCATTCATATTATGTTAATGGGAGGTATCTACACATATTTCTAAAATAACATAATATTATTCCGTTACTGAGTATATTACAAAAATTATTAATTAAATTAACATTTTTTACAATCTAAAATAATTGTTCCTAACCGCAATATTACAATACCCAGGATTTCATAGGTACAAATTAGGTTAAATTTATTGTGTTGCATTTCAAAATACATTATTACATCAAGTTTAATTAATATTTAATACAATAATTATTATAACACATCCAACAACGCACAAAGATTATAAACTAAAATACATACAAAAATATAAATACAAACAAAAACTACGTCAATAACGTAATTACAGAAATGAACTTAAAAAGCATCTTTTTTTGATTCTCTTATATTATAATTACAAAAAGAAACCATTTATATCAATATTTCTTAATTTTTAAACATTTTTTGTTGATGGTCCGATGACCGGTCTCATTCTTAACATTGAATGAAGATAGTTGTGATGATATAAAGGAGGCAGCATAGGAAATCCATAGTTAAAATATGGGTGATAATAAGGTAGAGAAGCAGGGGGCATTAAATGGTTGAAAGGATGCCCTAGGTAGTCAAATCCTGGTGGAAATTTTGGAACGTTACATAAAGAATCCATTGGGTACATCGGATTTCCCATGTATGGTGGTCGATCTTTAGTTATTTCACTCTTATTAATTTGCTGTAAAGATGCAATACCATTGGAAAAAACTGGTTGATTTTCTCTACTATGATGTCTCTTTGTCTGAACATTTCTCAATGGTTCAACATTTGAGATATTAACAGGTTGATGTTGAATATATGATGATTTTATGGGTGCATTCATAGAATTTCCTTTGAAAACTTCACCATTTGGTATTCTTCTATCGTAAGGTTTTGCATTATAAGGTACACTTCTTGATTCTAAGACATGAGCCGATCTCAGAGTTGAAGTGATGTTATTAGTGGTCCTTGATGAGCAATTCATACTATTGGTATTTTTTGCATTTGGATATTTAGCTTGTTGATAATGTAAGAAATTCGTCATTTCCGGAAAACTTGGAGTAGTACTATGTGATTGATTACTATGAGGCCTTAAATGTGATCCTTGCAAGTTTCTTAAATTATCTTTATCTAATGCTGTTGATCTATTATATTCAATTTGACCACCTGAATAATACTTATAATTAGAAATATTATAAGTATTCAAATTATATAATTTTTCAGCATCACTGGCATTTTGATTATTGACATTGCAATCAGTTTGAATGGATGGAACTGAAGGAATCACTTTATTGTTGCCAGAAATGTGAGAGTGTGAATTATTTGTATTCCAATTTTCCTTATTATTTTCGCAAGGAGAAAACAGGTTGCAATTTTCGTGTTCTTGAAAAACTGCGTTACTTTGAGAAGTCGATGGTAGATTAGATAAAGGAGTTGCATCTAAATTTTCGTTTTTTTCCGGTAAATTTAAATGCTTCTCTTCCTGATCCTCTGGGTACATTTGTAACGTATTTTCAGGATGATCGGGATCAATGATCGGGTTTGTGATGTCCAGCTCGTTAAGAATGCTGTCAAAATCTGGCACTAGTGCTTCATCTATTGAATTAGAACATTGATCTAGCAATGAATCAACAAATTTATATTCATCTGGTTCATTAGTGCTAGTTTTTTCTGAAGGCTGATGTGCATAGATTTGAGTGCTCTTATTATTCACTGGATAAGTATATTGGTTCCATTGTAAACTGGGCATCGAGGGTAGCTGTTTCACATCTGATGGTTCCATTTTCCTGTTTTCTGGTTCTTGATCACTTTGACCGGATGTTAAAGTGTGATTGGATATAGCCACTTTTTTGGTTTTTTGATTGCGTTTTTCTTTTCTTTTTTTACTTTCTGAAACACTACAAGTGGGAACAACGATTTCTGCTTGATCTTTGACTATTTTTGGTATATTCAGGAATACGCCACTTTTTATAGTATTCAGTTTTGTAGATTTGGTCTTGAAGATTTTTTCTTTTTTCACTTTATCACCCTTATTCTTTTTGACTTTATCGTTTTTTTCTTTTCTTGTTTTTATAGTTTTGTTGTTCGAAATCTCGACGATTTTGTATTGTTTGATCTCGTCAGTTTTGATTTTGTTGACTTCAATAATTTTGTACTTTCTCTCGTCAGGTTTGTGGTTTTTAACTTCGATTTTCCTATCTGCACTATCATATTTTTTTTCGTCTACTTTTATGTCCCCTTTCTGTAATACTTCATCTTTGTATAAAACATATTTTTGTTTTAGTGTTTTAGGTTTTTTTGGTTCTTTAGGTTCCTTAGGAAGCACAGGATTTTTAGGTTCCGATGGAGACAAGGTATCGATGTAAAAATATGCCCGGATAAAAGTCCAATCGTTTAAAGAAAAAGAAAATATATCAGTACCTTTTAGAAGATCAACGGAACTTCCTGGTGGAGATGATTTCTTTTTTTGTAAATTGGAAATCGGAGAATCAAAAATGTCGCTAGTACTAGAATCATATGGCGTGGACAATTCTTCTTCAGAAGATAAATTTGTGGAATCGCTAGTTTCGACCTTTATACCAGCAGTTTCATTGTCTAAGCTTCGTATTAAGGATACGTTTGGAATTTCCTTGAAATTGAGAGAATAGTGAGCTTGTCTAAGCTAAAAAAAATTAAAATATATTTCAGACAAAGCACTCATTTCAGTATTTCAAATATTTTACATATGCGTACCTTAATAATTTTTACCTCTTCGATTTTGTTATTAACAGAATGACATTTCCATAAATTTTCCAAACTGCGACCCAAAGAAACAGGTATCGGCTTCAAAAATTTTGGAACTACACCTATAGGTTTTCGACGGGGCAGAACTGGCATGGGGTAAGGATTTTGGGCATAATATTGATTCGAAACACCTGTTCTATAACTTCTAGCCTCACTTGATGTATACCTCTAAAAAAACGATAAAAACATAAACTCGAAAGTATTTGAAAATTGTATCTACTTATGTAGCTGTGAATCGTAAATGATTTTTAAGTAAACATATGTATCTATTTACATATCTATTTACTATAACTTGCATATAACAAAAAATAACCTACATGTACTCTACTTGGTACGTCTACAAGTGTTTTATATCCTTTATCAATTTTACTTTGCAGCATGATAAATCCAAACAAACAATTTGTTAAATAAAACGTTGCAATAAATACCTCGATATTTTCAATTCCTAAAACACTAAAAATACTTCTGGTTAAACTAATTTCTGGAATGTCTGCCACAATCTACTTTTAATAAAAAATATACCTACTGATAAAGGTACAATATTCACAACGAAATTTATATATACGAGGATTGATTCGTATTAAATAATCTAATGAATGAATATACATAGTAGGTATAAAAGTATGTACATAGGTATAAAGAATAGTTAATTTTTAATAATGAAATATTATTGATATCGAGTTTCAAAATATGTATGTACATACCTTCATTTAATTTCGAATTGAAGGCAATAATATTAAAATCTTTTTAATTTTTTAATGTCTTATTTGTATCGTAAATTAAAAATATAACGAGGACTCCTTGTATTGTATGTATTTAACAATAGAAACAGTAAGTTTTTTGCTTATAGAATTTATTTATTATTAAAGAACAAATTTGATTCGTTAGAATTTGGATAATTGAATATTAGAATCGGTACGTTGTATTTATTTGTAACAACATTTTGTTCATATGTATGTATACATACATACATACATACCTACAAATCAAGTGCAAATATGTTTGCAATATATGTATGTATTCAATTTTATGAATTGAACAAAGGGGTTAAAATAACATTGGTTAAATCAAAATATTGATATATTTCACAATTATTTTATTTATTTATGTATAACAATTTTTATAAGACTTATTTAAATAACAAGAAATCAAGACTGCTTTTGCTATGTTTCTGCAAAAAAGGAATAAAATTTTGTAATTTTCGAATACTGAATAGTACTTGTGTAAAAAACATACCGATATACTTTCTGGGTAGTTTATTTTCTGAAGAAAATATCGAATTTCAAATTCGAGAATTTCACTAAAATGTTCGAATTCATTGCATCTTCTATTAACCGGCAATTGTACAGTTTGTTGTGGATGTTGTCGTCCCCTCCTATGTTGATTCCTATTTGTTGGTATTCTATTTTTTTCTATAACTCTTCTATTACTTTGCACATGAAGCTGCCGCCTATTTCTTCGACTGTTGCGACGTAATACCTTCAAAATTACGATCCTTGATTTTTGAACCACACTGTAGATGTTGCATAACTTACCTTTTTATTATTTCTTACTATTGTCTCATCGATATACTCAGGAAACACACTTTGAATTGTCGACGGCGTAAAAGGAGGAGGAGAAAGATTTTCTAGTAATTTAAGAAATTCTTCGTCCGAAATGTTAGATGGCATTTTGTTTAGAACTAAGTGTATAATTTAGAAAAATTATTTTTAATAAAAGTGTAGGTAGGTATTCGGTGTTGATGTTTCGCTTCTTTTTTGAAAAAAAGTGAAAACCGGTTAATACTTAAGTCCGAAAGACAATTGAGAGCTTTTCTGTGCTGATTGTTTTGAAAATCCATATTTTCGTGACATAGTACCCCAAAATAAGAACAAATATAAAATTAGAATATTGATAAATTTCGATGTATCAGAAGGTAGGTATTACCCAGAAGTCTCTACAGATAACAATGTTTGTGGTTATCCAATGGGCGCAAAGTTAATCCCTTAATTGGGTCATTTAACTAGAACTACCAAAATCGACCTGTACAATCCGAAAGGTCAAAAATCAATAATGATATCTAAGAAAATGGGTCTATCCTGGTCATTTCTAAAGAAAGGCTAATTCTAAATAACAAAATGACTGAAAATTTCTGGAGCCATGTTATTCAGTATTACAAATGGTAGACATTTTTATTTTTACTTCAGAACCACTATATAAATAAAATAATTCAAAAACCCAAATCATGATAAAAGAATTTTATTACAAAATATTGCAAACGTTTACATAAAAAATTACATCGGTTATTTACCGATAAAGTCCGAAATTATAGTACAATGTAATTGTTATAGTACAATGATAATTACAATCAATAAAGCAAAAAAAATTAACAAAAATAATGTTAAATCATTACCATTTGTCCTTATACTTATACATAATACAGGTAAAAATATCGCAGTTAGGATAGCATATCGACTAAGTTCGATTGAAAATTAATCAGGTACCAGTTTGCATCTTCATCTTGGGATGAAGGCATGTTCTCATTCAAGCACGAAGTAACTGCTGAACTGTTGGAGTTATTTTGATTTCCCATCACAGAATATGCCAACAATCGGTTGGCGGCAAGTGCGTCCTGTGATTTGGATTCCTTGGGAACCTTAGCTGCTCTCCGGGAAACTTCAGGACATTTGGCCTGCGCTTTTTTCTTCGTTCTCGTTCTGCGATTTTGGAACCACACGGTGATCTGCTCTTCGGTGAGCTTCAAACTTTGAGATAATTGAAATCGACGTTGTCCTGTGATGTACTGGTTCTTCTCGAATTCCATATGTAAGTTGAGCAGTTGTTCCGATGAAAATTGCGTTCGAATCCTTCTTCGTTTGCGAGTATCTGGAACAAAAAAGGGTAAACGTAAGTACCTATATGCAAATAAACATAAGTAAAGTATACCGTACCTTTTTTTACTTCCTTCGGAACTGGAGGTGACGGCATGGACGATGAGACAACGCAGTGGATCTGAAAATTAGAGTAAAATTGAGTATTTAATAAACGATTTTAAAAATGTAGTAAATGAAGTAAAATAAATTTCAAATAGTTTATATTAGTAGGTACAAATAGTATTTTACAAAAACCTTACCATTTGGTTAAAATTGTTGATACTTTGGGGTTCTACTGTTATAAGAGGACTCGTTGATGATGAGACATCGCTATGAATCTGAAAATCAGATAAAATTGAGTATTGAGTAAATAATGAAAAATAATGGAAAAATTTCACAATTGCCTTACCATTTGGTTCAAATAGTTGGTACTTTGGGTTTCTACTGCTATACTAGGACTCGTTGATGATAAGATATCGCTTTGAATCTAAAAATAAGGGAAAATTAAATAACTAACAAACAACAATAATTAAATTACTTACCAATTGGCTGTCGGTTACTAACAGGTTGGTTATCATAACAGAATCTTCTTGATTCAGAAATTCACTTAGCCAATTCGACATTTCCTCGCTTTCATCGCTTTGAATCTAAAAATAAGAAAAAAAGTTAGTAAATCGCTATAATAATAAAAAAATGTTAAAAATGTCTTACCATTTGGTTCGAATTGTTGGCACTTTGGTCATTTTCCACACTAGGACTTTCTTGATTCTGAATGTCACTATAAGGGCTCGGCAAATTCGGTGTTTCCACTAAATGTACTTCGAAAATTGGGGAATTTTCTTCCTGAAGGTGATTTTTGAACAACAACATTTTAATATAGTGTTGTGAAGCTGCTGGTTCTTCTGATGTGAACCCTTTAATCACGACAAGGATAATGCAATTTGACCTGTCAGGAGCACTTGTATTTATAGGTGAAAATTTAATTAGGGCGGTATCCCCTAATCGGAGCGGCGCCTAATCCGATGTGATCGGTTTTCTTGGTACGCCAGGTACTTGTTATTTTTAAAATATGTATAATTTTGCAATTGCAAATTCTTTTTTATTTAATTTAAGGAAATTTTTGATTTTGTCATTTAGCATTCGCCTCGGATATGGTAAAAGACACATTTTTAAATTAAAGTTAATTTCATTTCATGTTCTTCTGGTAAATGAAAACGATTGATTACTTTAAATGACGATTAATTTTTTTTTAAATTTATGAACTAAACTCTATTTTGAATTAGTTACCAATTTGGCACTCTAAAGAACAAGAAAAGCCTAGGAATTAATACGATATATACAGGGCGGGGTAAGTATATATGCATTAAGTGTAAAACAACAATTTTGATCGATTCTTTTGTAACAAATTTTCAATCTCTGTCCTTTACACATATGGGCAGGAAGGTTGGCAATTTGGCGTTCGATAGTATTGGATTCTGAGCATCTCTAACGCGGTTGAATTGTAAACATAATCACTCCACTAGTTAACTCTATGAATAAAAAATCCAACGGTTTCAAATAGCAAGGATCGCGGTAGCCATTCGATTGGACAATTTCTGTAGTTCTTGGAATTACAAAATTTTATGATCAAATGAAAATTAGTTCGAAAGAATCGATCGCTGTCATCGTGCTCGTGATGATCATATCAACAATAAAAAATATAACATGTGTAGGTACTACGTCTCAACTCAATTCCTCTGTTTCATTTAAATACAAAATTGTTTCAGTTTAAAATTTTTGAACCGAGCTATTACTTGAACGGATGTAAATTGGGGTTACAAAGGGATTATAAATTTTAATCCAGTAGGTAAATTGGTTGCAAAGTACCCCACAAACATCTCTTTTTATGAATGTGAATTTTTAAACAATCTACTCTACTCGCTCTATTGCACTAAATTTTTGTGAATTTCTATTATTAAATAATTAAAATGAATATTCACTTTGATACAGGAAATTCAAATCATATCTAAAGTTTGCAATGGAACCATTTTCTACCTGCGAGGTATTCTTGCGCCCTAATTACCTGAAGGATTAAAATAATCTGTCAGGTAATAAGTATATTTGCACACAATTGACCACCACGAACAATATTTGCATCCTTGAATTATTATTTATTTTTGTTTTCGATTCCATAAATTCGGAAACATAGTATGTTTTAGAAACTAGACAAATTTATGAAAATCTGCATTTATCTAGAAGTTAGGTATAGGCTCGGGAATATTTCTAGTGACGAGAAGAAAAAATATAATTTACAAATACAAGTTTTATTTTAGAGATGAAAATGTTTTTAACAAGTTTTACAGAATATACCGAAGTACACATGATATCATACATTATAATTTAATATAAACAATTTTACATCTATAAGGGAAATACTCGTTTATACAAGTACAAGCTAAAATAAAACGAATAAAAAAAATTTAAGCTAAAAATCGATCAAGTTAACATTAAAGATAATGTTCCGTTAAGTCATTATACAGTGCGACTCAAAAATTCTCCACTTTATGCAAATTCGAGATTTCATCAGTTAAAAAATCAGTTAAAGTGACAAGAACTTTTGATTCCTACTGTGGGGTCCATTAGCAGGTCAGTCAGGTACTTAAAGACTAATCAACCCTTCAGCGGTTGTATTAGAATCAACAGTATTATTTTGCACAAAATGCGTGTTGTAAAACACCGGGAAATTTCCTCCGTTATTAGGAGTGTACAAATCATTTGCAAAACCATCCACATTATTTGGGAACTGATACTCATTGTCCTTATTGTAATTATAGTACCCTGATTCGTAGTATTGGTTGTTGTACAAATGCGGAGGATAATTCTGATAAACCACCTCATTTCTTACTTGCTGAGAATCATCAGGCGCGTTGTAATTCACCTGCACAGCATTTTGCTCTTGGGGCTGCTCTTTAACGACGATTTGGTTCTTTTGCACCAAAGCCGAGTGGTTCATCAGTCGATTAACAATGTCCGCGTTCTCCGATTTCGCCGGAGATTTTTGCTTCAGGCCGTTTTGGAGGAAAGTCGACTTGTTGTGCTGCTCTTTCTTCATCTTCATCCTGCGGTTCTGGAACCAGATCTTTATCTGTCTCTCGCTCAAATTCAGGTACTGGGAGAGCTGGATGCGACGCTGACGGCACAGGTACTTGTTGTAGTGGAACTCTTTTTCCAGGTGGAAGAGCTGCTCGGTGGTGTAGGCCGTTCGGATCCTTCTGGTTCGTACGGGAACCTGAGGTTCTGGAATGAAAGAAATGAAGTATAAGTAAGATGCAATATAGTGTAAAAATCGATGAAAATTGTTTTTGAACGTAATGTAGGTTTTGCAATTTAAAATTTTTCGTTTCGATGTTTTAATTGTATTTCCCCAAAAAATCAAGGAAACTTACATCTTCAAATATTTTCCAAAACAATTCCAAACAAACATTAAAAATCCTTAATATTTTTATATAGTAAAATTGAATAAAAATAATTCCAACATACCTGATGATTCGCTAGTGGTTCTTGAACTGGTTTCGGATGTAGATCTTGGTACATTCCAAGTTGAATCGCAGTTGTTGTAGTCCATCTAAAAAAAGCATAAAATTATTATTTAACCTTCAATGCATTTATTTATACAAAAACAAAAAATTACAACAATTAATTCAAAATCTTACCAATTGACCGAATTCTCCAAGGTCCCTCGGGCTGCTGGTACCGGAATCCGCTTCACGATTCTCTACCTCACAAGCTGCCTTTATCATCACTCTAGATTCTCCCAGCAAGTCCAAGTTCAACCCGAAAGTTTCGCCGCAATTTTCTTCAATTCCAACGCCGTTCTCGAACAATAATGCCATCTTTACTCGTTAGTTACCTTTACTAAGTTCACTACTCAAGGGTTGGAAGGCAAGTGATGGCTCGATTAGTGGAGGCGCAGTATTTATTTGGTATCGGCCGGTCGGTACTCCCTGATTGATGACGTCAAATTTGCATAGGGTATATTACTTTTGTGGCGAGAGTCTTGTGGACAAGACGGAGCTCTGTGGATTATCGGGGGATTGGAGGAGACAGCCACCTGGTGATTTAGTCAGTTAGTCAATTCGTAAATTCAGTGACTTCTATTATTACGTATTTTATGATATTTGTAACTGTCGGGAGAATCGTCTCGACTTTTTTCGAGGCGCTCGCTGTGCTTGGGTAATAGAAAATTTAATCCTGCAATAATAAACATCCTCGCATTAATATAGGTAGATTGACTTTGGCATGTAAACTTGCGGAAGTCGGTCGTCGTTACATCGTTAGGCGTATCCGGGAAGAGCTTTCTTTCAATATTGCGGGTTTTTCTTGAGGTACATTGGAAAGATTGCTTTTAAAGTGAATTGTGGAAGTCAACATATGTGAGAATTGTTTTTGATTTTTACGGGGTATTTGCAAAATATAGCAAATGTACCTACTCGTAGAATGGGTTTTTTCCGAAAGGGAAGATCATAATTTTTAAACCAAAACAAGCCGTGTTGTGAAATGTTTACTATTTTTAATATCATATTAGTGTTACAAAACATTGAGATTATAGGATTTATTCATTCAATTCAACGATACTTTGTTTTGTACAGCTTTCGGCATCATATTTTTGCATTTAAACATGCATACTTACTGTTTGGGATAAAAGCAAACATTACAAATTTTAATTTAAACTTTATTATTTTCAAAATATTGAATCAAATAAATAAAAGCAAATCGAAACTACAACAATTAAAAAAAACTATAAGTACAACTACTTATCTAATAAACACATTCATTAATACAAAATTCTTGAAAGTTAAACTAATTATTTAATTTTATTTAACATTTCCGAAATTTTCATATATTTTATACCTAAAAACGTACTATAGATATTCGATCAGTACGTTATTTTTGTAATTAAAACAATGATTTAAACTATTACAATTCTACGCAATAAAAAATCACAAAGGAGTTAAACTATCGGGCGGAGTAATAGTTCCCAAAGTTTGTCCTTGATCCCACTGAATGTTAAAATCGGCCCGAGGTTCAAAAGAAGCATCAGTCCTGCCTAATCCTTCCTTCTTGATAGACAAATAAGGCTGGTAAAGCGGTTTAGATTCCTCTTCTTGGTACGTCTCATAAGGGTAGTAATTTACGCTAGTATTATAAGGAGCGAACCCGGTCTCTGCTTGAGTTTCCAGATACATATTAGCCCCGCAATTCGGAAGGTATTGCGCTGAATAATTCGCTCCTTCTCTCTCCCATTGCGGACAATAAGTAGGCGAGTTGTAATTAGGTATCGTTTGCGGTATGTACTGATTTTGAACAGGCACCGAATGGTTTAAAAATCGATCCACTAAAGACGGTTCTTCCGATTTCTGTGCCAGCCTAGCCTTCGTGCTAGGACTGGAATTATTTGACGACGATGATATTACTGGTGAAGACCGATGGTCCGGAGAACCCGACTTGTTCTTTTGGTCTTTTTTGTATTTCATCCTCCTGTTTTGGAACCATATTTTTATCTGCCTCTCGCTGAGGTTCAAAGTTTGAGCCAGCTGGATTCTCCGCGGCCGGCACAGGTACTTGTTGTAGTGGAATTCTTTCTCTAACTCAACTAATTGGGATGAAGTGTATGCTGTTCGGGCTCTTTTAGGGTTGTTTGTTGCGATTTTCGGACTGGGAATCGCTCGAGGACTCTTTTCAGAATCTACAATAAATAATATTTGCATTATAGTAACTGTAAAATTGTAGAATTACGCGGAATTATTAGATGAAGACATACCTTTGATTCCTAGTGACAAAGAATTCGGGTCGTCCGGAGGATTTATTTCAAAAGGTACATTAAAATAGGGTCTTTCGTAATTAACAATAACCTGATTGTTTTGATCGTAAGTGAAATTTTCGCCGGACTTTTCGTTCCATCTAGATATCTGCAGACTATCCATGTGCTGAAACTTAAGAAATTAAATGAACAGGTCAATCAATTTGGATAAAATTAATTTAAAAACCACAGTATAAGTACTTACCATGTGATTGTCTTCGAATTTATATTGCGAGCTGTATTGTGCCTCTTTCAAACTGGAATGATTATTATCCGCGGAATTGAGATAGTTGTTATCGGTGTAAGGGGGTGGCGATTTCGTATCACTAGAACTGTTCGGCGATATCGGCTCGGTCAACAGCATGTTACTGTATTCTTCGGTAACGGTGGTCATCGCGCTAATTTTCGACGAAATTAAAGTAAAATTATTAGGTGAAGGTATTTATAATGAGTTTCCACTACCACGCCTACTTTATAAACATTGTTTAAAGTAATTAAGACTGTAGTTTCTCCATTTTTGTGAATCGGAAACGTAGTTGAAGTCTGACTTTTCCGGTTTTCGACGAATCTTGTATTGTACAATATTTTGAGATTACATACAGAAAATTTCACCTTGCTTATACGACTTGATGGAATTTGATTCTTATTTAAAATGTTCATTATTTAACTAAAAGCAAACTTACTCGTTTGATCAGCTCTTCGAAACAAAACTAGGTATGATGGAAACCACGCATGTTCACAATACCTTTATTGTTCTCTGTAAATACTAGTATTTTTTACGATAAATAAATTTTAAAAACAATAATTTAAGAGGTTAGTACAAACCCATCACTAAAGTAGCAAGTAATGTGTGTCAAGTTTGTTTGGGCGATAGTTTTCATGCCTTCAGGCAAATTGATTTTTCGTATCAAACGTTTTAAAAATACACGTCCAAAGTGTCTACAAAAAGACTAAGGAAATAACAAAACCAGTGTATCGTATTGTAGTTTATCTGGTTATTTACTTGCTGTCAGTTCCAAAAATTCGAAATATAAAACGATATAATAAAAATGTTATAAGCACCCGTTCAAATATTGTTGCTAAAGTACTTTGAAAATCATCATAATCATATAAAGCTGCTGAATCAAAGTCATAATATGTATACAAAAACTCAATCAAACAAGATAAAATATTATCTACTTATAAAATTTAACAAATGTAGGAGAAAAATGAAGTTCTCATTGTTGAAATTATTTAGTTCAATAGAGTAGAAAGTTATTTCAACGGAAATATTTAAACCAAAATCCTATAGATACAGGAATAAAGAGAGTAAGAAATTCTCAAAATTACAAATCCTAAGAGGATTGACCGATTTATTCAATTCCAGAGGACAAAATATTTATATACAATACAGGTAACTCTTCCATTACGGTCTTTGTTTTGTCTATGTAATTGATTCTGGATCGGGTAGGTATAGAAAATACGACGGGGATTATAGGAAGATTTAATAAAGTTAATATAGGTAGATTAACTTAGGTAGATACTTATTACCGAGTACGAAAAAATTCCTTTCTTAAGAAAACAATAATTATCTCAATTTAAACAAAACCTTCGGTGGAATAGAATTCATAATTTATTTAGTGAGTAGGCGCAATAAAACTAAATATTTCCATAAATTATATTCGTGCGTTCCTGCCGTGAAAAATATTAACTTTAAAACCCAGGAACAAATTAACTTTATAATTCGTCGGTTTTCTTAAACAAACAGACAGAAATTCTGTCTCTGTTCAGACGCCTAAAGAGACTCCAGGTTTCCATAGAGCAGCCGCCAATAGTCGCCGTAATAATAACCCCTTGTATGCATGTACTAATCTGAAGAAAACTGCTGGAGTGGCTTGTATACAATGAGATTATAGTGTCTCGCCTGACTCAGTCACTATTTAAAATGATTCTGACTTTTCCAAAAAAATTAAACGTCTGAACGTATCTATTCCTAATTTTCTATTCTGTAGTCTTTCATGTTCGTTAATAGAGGCAGACTTTTTGTCAACAAATCATTCTATTAAAGTATTAAACATTAAATTTAAATACTAAAATATATTAAAACATGTGTAGAAAAACTGTTTTATGTAGTTTTCTTGAATTATCTATTTAATAAGCGAATTTAACAGATTTTATTGCATTGAATTAGTTAAGCAATTAAAGATTTACGTATAGTTTCATCAGTTTGAAACTTTATCACTATTATGACACTTTACATCATCTTTAGCGTTATGAACACAAGTTAATTGGTCTTAAGCACAACCAATTTAATATTCATTAAAATCATCGTACTAATTTAATGTTTATGATCCTATAAAATAAATATTACCCAATGAATAAACTTATAACTAATAGCTGTGTCAGTTATTTCTTCGATGTTCTAAAGTGTGGTGCATATCATAATTTAAGTTTATGAAATTAATGAAATTTATGGAATTACATGAAATTATCGTGGAGCTGTGATATGATAATAATAATGTTGTGAAGTAGTAAGAAGTTGGAAAATTTTAGAGTGTTTTGAAATTGTTAAGAAAAAGCGAGAATATTGGAAATAATAATTGTTGATGTTTTTATAATAAAAATTGTAATTTTTCTATTTTGATAATAATTATATGGTGAGTACGAACGAATGAACGTATAGAAGTAGAATTGGTAATTAGTAATTTTTGAAAATAATAAAATATAATTAATTTTCCAAACATTCATAATATTTTCCTCAATTTCTCAGAAACCTTTTCTTGAAATTATTGTCGTCATTCTGGAACAACTAATAACCGGTATTTCCAAACGAGCTTGTTTGTGCACATACGCAGGTATTCTACATAAAAATTTCCTCGATTACATTGCCCAACTTTTAAAATATATCCCAACTGTATCCCAATCGATTTATTTAAGTACCTATTTGAGCACGTACAGAGCACCTCCATATTTTTGCTACCCTATACTCTACAATTGTGTATTTGAAATATAGAACTTTGTTAATGATATGTTCATTGATAATCAAACCTTTATTTGACTGGAGCCAACGAAAGCCCTAATTTACAATCAAAAATTTTCTTGAAAACTTCCATATTAAATTCAGGCGTAAATAAAAGCGTAACCTATTAACTTTTTGAAAATTTCTAAAAGAAAAAAATCAAGTGATTAGCACACTAATTTGTCGGCAGTCGTGAGGAATTTCTGTCTGTCACACGGCCGACAGGAATTACAATATAATTATCGTTTGTGGCTTCAATAATTTCGTTCATATTTATTTCTAATTAAGTGTATCTGATAGAATCGGTCGTTGCACAAGACACATAGACCAAAAATATGCTTTGTTATAGACTGGGCTTTCACTAAAGTCAATCAAATAGTCGTTACCAGAAAGTTTTGTTTTCTAAAAATTACCTTGCTCAATTAATGTACAAGGGCGATAAATGTTTAAATATTTGATGTATAATATAGGTTACGTCAGGTGCTTGTTTAACAGGTTTTTTCTTAATAAGCAGGGATAAAATTGTTAAAATTTGGATAATATTGTTTTAATTTTAGCGCATATTGTATACATGCAAAATAAATGTATCTTGTAAATATGGTCTATTTTTAGACTATATGGAAATAAACTGTATTGTTTAGGGAAGTTTTAATCTATACAACGACCAATAAAATAGAATCCTTAAATAAATTTGTGATTCATAGATATCCTCGCAAATATTCAAAATTGCTACTATCTGTGTTGTTTAAATATTTTATCCTCTCTTGGTATTGACAAACAGCCTTTGGAGTATCAGAAGGTTTGTTTACGTACTGAGATTTTACTAAGATTTATGATCTACAAGTAAAGAAAATACACCAGCAAATCAAAGTCTGCTGCAATATAATTTAACCAAATAGTATTAAAGTGCGTAAAACTAATTTACAGGAAAATATAATGTATAAAATTATTTATTCAGCTACTAATTTAAAATTGTATAATATTAAGTACTGGATTGGCTGGATAATAGTCTGGAAGAGGGCGCTTCTTCTTCACTCCGACTTCGCTGTAGGCAATTACATAGTAATCTCCCTGCGCGAGCTCATTTTGACCGGTGCCGGTGTTTAATAATGGAAAGAAATTTTAAAATTAAATTACCCAATACAGTTCATTTCGAATATGGCCTTCAAAAATGCTATAGTAGGCATATGCAAGTCTGCAAGGGCTACATTTTAACAATATTTTCAAACATACAGAGTGTCCCAAAAAAGCGTGGTATATCAAAGTTATATCAAAGTGGTGTATCATATTTTTCTTATGGGGTGCCCTATAATTAACAACATTTTTAAATGGTCCTTGAAAAATGATCTAACTTTCATAAAGGTTCTTTGTGTTCTGATTTATTTGGATATTTCAGAAAATATAAGGGTTTGGGAAAAATACGTAACTCCAAATCTAAACATCCGGTATTAGTTTTCTCTTGAGTCAAATAATATACTATTATTTACAATACGTGTTCCTAGTTCCTGATGACCTTCTTTGCCAATGAGAGTTTCATATGAGATTATAGCATTTTGAAAAAACGCTTTACTAGTATTTACTACTGTAGGTACAAAAAAAATAATTTCAAAATGCATTGAGTAGTGACTTCTTGTCTACACGAGCAAATATACACCCAGTTGAAATACTGGTTGCCTACCTGATACATTTCGAAATGGTCGTGGTCCTGGTCCTACAAACCATTATAGATAAGGGTTGAAAAATATCCAGAGTAAAAATTAAAAAGAGCCACATATCGAATCACGAATCAAATTTTTGGATTTATTCGAATTCAATTGAGCAACATAATATTGGAATGATGTATTCGAAAATGACCCTGCCTCCGTTTTACTATTCCATTAGACATCCCATCAACTTCAGTTTCCCTTTTACCTATCCGAAAGCGCCGAAAACAACAAATTAATTCGGCGAAACAACTTCGTTTTTGCCGACTTTCCTCGTGTTACGCTTTCGAAATTAAACCGATCTCGCGACGTTACACGACTATTCCCACCCTCAGACTTACAAATTGAGAGGAATTAGGGTGTAAATGGTCATCAATCACTCAGAGCGACAGCGTCATACCTAGACCAGAGAGTATCAGCTGTTTCGGGCACGAATGTAAGTCGAGAAATTGCTTAAAATTCGTAACAGTTAAGTTTTCGATTAACAGAATATTGCAGTTTTTCTGTTTATTGTAGAATTTACACTTCATCTAATAGTATGATGAAAATTACAGATCATTCATAATGAAAAAATTGCAAATATCAATCTAATTAATCAACACGCAAACCATAACTTAATTACACCTAAAAGCAACAAGTTAAAAGTAATTAAATTTCAGTCCGGTTAAATTTATTCCGCAACGTAACGAATTTGCGAGGAAATTTCCCGCACCCCTCGTATATTATTGCGTTCGCACGCCGAACAATATACTAACAAAAAGCGCATTTGACTTTATAGGCCCATAAATTTTAGAACTTGACAATTGATCCCTTAACTTTTATACGGTAAAGCTGCGACGGCCAGTGAAAGCTCGGTTGTATGTGTGTTACGTGCTTGGAAATTTCGAGTTAGGGAAACGAATGTAAACTAGAAAAATAAGGCGATTTATGTTTAAATTTGTGGTTAGAGAAATTATAATAATATGTGTAGTGGAATGTGTTAAATTCGAGTTTATTCCTAAGTGTTAGAAGTTATTATTTGCCATAAAATTATTTTACTGCGTTTTTTCCTGTATATCTTTTTTAGAAGACGTATATCAGGATACGGTCCATTTGCATTTTATTGAAAACCAGCCCGAGTATACTTCAATATTGTTTGTGGTTCGAAAAATAAAATTTACATTTTCTTCTCGTTTATCGTGATGTCCCGAATATGACAGTGAAACATCAGGAATTAGGGTACGTTATATCGAATT